CTGTCTCTATATTAGGAAATAACATACTACATATTTTGGATCTGTATAAATATTAAACTTTTCAGTTATGTGTTCAAGGGCAGCAATAACTGCTATAATTCCCACCTGCTGTGTAGAAATTCCTTTTCTCCTTTTAATAATTACAGGTTTATCTTTTATATACACAGCTGAAGTTCCATTAGATGACCCATCTGTGAATACCAAGAGGGCATCGGAGATAGGTTCCAATGCTATTTTTGAAGGAAAGATTATCTCTTCTACAAACTATAATAGAGGGTGTTGAGGTATATGATATTTGATTTGTCCCATATAATAAGCTAATGCAATTCCCCAATCATCTGCAGTATGACTAAATATTCCAATTGTTCCTTATTATAAGGAATGTTAATTTCTTGCATTTCTTTGCCAAATAATTACCTAGATCTTAACCTTCCCTTAATAAGTAATTGACTGCACATAAGAGGATAAGAAGATATCATTTTCACTTGAGTATGAGGAAGATATATCCATTCTAGTACACCTTCTTGCCATAAACATGCAGTAAGATGTTTTAAGTATAATAAGGGACCATGATTTTAGATAATTTATTTGTTTTACTTTTGCATCTTGCATCTTTTGTTCTATTAATTCAAAAAAATTTGGGGGGGTTTTCGAGACAGGGTTTCTCTATTGTTTTGGAGGTATCCTGGAACTCTCTCTGTAGACCAGGCTGTCCTTGAACTCATAGAGATCCACCTGCCTCTGCCTCCCGGGCGCTAGGATTAAAGGTGTATGCCACCAATGCCTGGCTAATTCAAAAAATTTTTTTTGTTTTTTTTCGAGACAGGGTTTCTCTATGGCTTTGGAGGCTGTCCTGGAACTCACTTGGTAGTCCAGGCTGGTCTCGAACTCACAGAGATCCGCCTGCCTCTGCCTCCCGAGTGCTGGGATTAAAGGTACGTGCCACCAATGGCCGGCTAAAATTTTTAAGGCTTCTTTTGCAAGCTGTCTTTTAGATTTGGGGTAAGGATCTCCATTTAGAATTTCAAATAAAAGATGTCTGGTAGTAATTTTTAAATAAGGACTAACCCAATTAATATTTCCCAATAATTTTTGAAAAGCATTCTCTTTAATTTATCAATCCTAAATTGCAATTTTTGAGATGTGATAAATTCACTATAACTTGTTTTTCCTAAATAATTTATTGGTTTGTTATGTTGAGTTTTGTCCAGGGCAATAATTAACCCTTGCTGAGTCAACACCTCAATCATATTTTTCAAAATTAATTCATTAAGTCCTTTGTTTTTTCTGCTATGAGAATACATACAATGTAATATGAAGGCCTTTCTATATTTATCTCTAATGGATCTTAAGGCTTGATCTACAGATTTCTGACAGAGTGGAAATATTTTTCATACCTTTGGGGAGAACTCTATTGATATCTTTGAAATGGCCTTTGAAAATTAACAGAAGGGCCGGGCGTTGGTGGTGCATGCCTTTAATCCCAGCACTCGGGAGGCAGAGGCAGGCGGATCTCTGTGAGTTCGAGGCCAGCCTGGTCTACAGAGCGAGTGCCAGGACAACCTCCAAAACTACACAGAGAAACCCTGTCTCGAAAAAACCAAAAAAAAAAAAAAAAAAAAGAAAAAAGAAAAAAGAAAAAAGAAAATTAACAGAAGGAATGCTGAAGGCAAAAACTCTGTATCTTTGGGTTGTAGTTTTATGTTAAAAAATCCTTTAAATCTATAACTATCACATAATAACTCTTGGGGACAGCTACTGGGGATGGAAGTCCTGGTTGTAAAACTATTAACAGCCCTAAGATCTTGTAAAAGTCTCCATTTGCCTGATTTTTTCTTAATGACAAACACAGGACTATTCCATGGACTGTTAGATTCTTCAGTATGCTCTAACTACAGTTGTTCTTCTACTAGTTGGTCTAAAGTCTGTATCTTTTCCTGAGTTAGGGGCCACTGATTCACCTAAACAGGCTCATCATTAATCCATGAAATTTTATCTACATATAATTCACCAGCAGCCCCTTTATAAAATGCTGATCATTCCAGTTTTTTTTTTGTTTTTGTTTTTTCGAGACAGGGTTTGTCTGTATTGTTTTTAGAGGCTGTCCTGGAACCATTCCAGTTTTTATCCATGGTTAATTTTACTTTCATTTTCCCCAAGATATCTCTTCCCCATAAGGAGAATAGCAAAGAGGGAATAATGTAAGGTTGAAAAGTACCTACTTTATTTTCACATTTCCATGTGAGGATTTTTGAACTTTGAGCTACATTGGAAGCTAGCCCCAATCCCACCAGAGGAGAGGTTTGAACTACAGGCCGTGTCCCTTGCAATGCAAGACCTGTCTGCTCCTGTGTCTAATAATCCTTGAATATTTTCTCCTACATTTACAGTTTTTAAAGGTCTCTGTCTAGTAATTTCCTGAGTCCAAGCTACCACTCTGTGGAGCCAAACCCTTCATCCCCTCTAGCCTCTAGCCTGGGGAGCTGTATGTAAGGGAGTAGTATTATCTTAGGTACCCGTAGGTTCTTAGGTAGTTGTATTGTTTCTTTCAATGGCCTAATCATAATTTTTACTTCTCCCTGGAAGTCTGAATCAATTACTCCAGGAAGTACTTCAAAATTTTTCTTTTTCTTTTTTTTGGTTTTATGAGACAGGGTTTCTCTGTATTGTTTTGAAGGCTGTTGGTCCAGCCTGTCCTCGAACTCACAGAGATCCGCCTGCCTCTGCCTCCCAAGTGCTGGGATTAAACTGTGTGCGTCACCACCGCCCCGCCCAAAATTTTTCTTATAATTTGACCTTCTGCGTACTATAAGACCAAAGGTGCCAGGTGGTAGTGGCCCTTTAAATCCTGTAACTACTAATTGTATTCCCTCATAAAGAGAAAGTAAATAATCTTTGTCTACTGCAAGATCTAATCCTGCACTTCCTGGGGTTGCTCTGGGTAAGTTTAAGATGCTAAACTCAGTAGCCAGAGGAATTAATTCACTTTTACTTTCCTCTATTTCCCCATTTTGCCCTTTTTTATTTTGGGGCACAGGGCATGCCCCTCATCCCGTTTTTTGTCTCCTCATATTCCAGGGGGGTTCCATCCTTATGAAATTTAGATTTACATTCATTTCTCCAATGCTTTCCCTTCTTACATCGAGGACATAGCCCTGGAGGTTGATTTTTCTTTTATTTTTTGAAATCTCCTTTTTTACAGTTATGGCTTATATGTCCTTGTTGTCTACAAGAAAAGCATGAATTTTTTCCTCTCTTTAAGTTCTGAACATAGGGACAGAAATGTTGCCCTTGCATAGCTGCAGTATATAGGCCACACCCTGGACCACTGCTGGTGAGGCATCTTTACATGCTTTGATGGCAGAGAGTATTGGCTTTTTCCCATGCAAGTTATTTTAATAACATGTCCAAGCCCTCAGAGGGAGGAAGCATCCTGCCTAATGCTTCTTCTAACCTAGCAATAAAGTCTTCATATGGTTTATCTTGTTTTTGTTTGATTCCTGCTAATACAGTTGTCTTACCATCAGCAGGATGGAGCCTTCTCCAAACAGCTATTACTATCTTAGAAACTTCCTCTACTATTTCCCCTTTTAAACTAACTTGTTCCTGGGGGGAGGCATAGTCTTCTCTACCCAAGAGCATTGACACAGTAGGTTTACCTGCCTTTTTTGTGAGGACTAAATTCTGAATTACTTCTCTTGCTCTATCCTCATATTCAGTCTTCCATGTTATAAAGTGCCCTGGGCTAAGAGTGGACTTTGCGGTCTGATGCCAACCATAAGGAGTTAACCACATGCTACCCAACATTTCTACAATCTGTAAAGTGTTTGGAGCACTTGGCCCAATGCTCTTAACAAAATACTGCAGTTCTTTAAGAGTTTTTAAAGGAAGAGGTTCCCATTGGGGTGTCTCTCCTTCAAGACTGGTTACTGGAAAACAAAAATCCAAGTATCTCCTCTTTGCTTGGCTTCTTTTATAGAAACCCCCTATTATTTGGCATCTTTCTTTCAAACTTTACTAATTTTGCTTTGAAAGCAGCAGGAGGAGGAGCAGTGTCTGCCGCAAAAATATCTATTTCTGTCTCACCATAAAAACAATCCCTTTCCTGATCAAGATCATATTCCTGTTTCATCACCCATTTTTCATTGTTCCTCATCATTCATCCAATCATCCCCCAGTTGTGCCTTGAGGAGAGTAGTAGTAGATGAGGAGGTATTATATGACTTAGTTTCTTTCCTCAGAGGAATTACCTCATCCTCAGAGCGTGCTTCTGCAAAGAATTCCATTTCTGGTTTCTCTGAAAGGAGATCTCTGATTTGTACCCATAATGAAAATGCCTGTTTAGGATCATGGCATTCATAAAATTTCCTCATCTCTTTTTTTTTTAAATGATTTATTTATTTATATGGGTACTTTGCATGAATATCTGCACACCAGAAGGGCATCAGACAGTTGTGAGCTGCCATGTGGGAGTTGGGAATTGAACTCAGAACCTTTGGGAGAACAATGAGTGCTCTTAACCACTGAGCCATCTCTCCAGCTCCCCAATTTCCTCATCTCTTGCCCTACTTTTTTCTACTTTTCTACAGACAGGCTTCCTTCCTCTGGGAACCATGGACTGACATTTATTACACAATCATAAGATGGTGCCAAACTCTTCTTTGAAGTTTTAACACCTCTACTTTCTAACATATCACTCAATGCTACCAGGAACAAACCTCTGTTTTTGGACTGTGACTGCCCCATGATTCTTACCTTCTTGGTGTCTTAACTCGATGTCTATCGAGGAGTCTGTAACACTCTGGCAAGGTCCTATCCTTACCTGAAAAAGTATTTTTTTTGGAAAAAGGAAAGAAAAGGGAAGAGAAAACTTACCTACTTCGAGTCACACGTTGAGGGCACCAGCTGTCACAGACCACCCCAGTCGGATATGGGGGACCCTGGAATGAGGGTTCTCGAAAACTAGGTGAGTAAGGATTTGGCAGTGACAAACAGAAACAAACACAGAGGCAGTTTGAATCTGAGTGTATTTTAGCAAGGCTTTTTATCCAGGATTAAGCACATCTTCTCAGAGTTTGCGTTCAGTGAAGCAGATAAATGACATCATCATTACTAGGCTAATAAAATGATAAATCAAAAAAATCATTCAAGGCTAGCCATAGCTAACCACCTATTTTTAAGATCAGGTTAATAAATTTTTATGGTTAGTTATTGTTTAACATTTGTTACCTAGTTCACAACTGTTTGATATCTGTTGCCTAGTTCTTGTGAGTCTATGAAATATTGAGCTATTTTAGCTTTTTTCCTTATGAAAAAGCTTTCTTTACCAAACATTAAAACCACTCTCGATCACACATGTACAGCCATATGAAATTTTATTGTTGGGCAAGTTTTTATTAATATTATTACTATTTACTTATGTGAATGATTCATAAAGCTCTGGTTTTCTTGGGGACAAGGTCATGGTCAGTGACCATGTCTCAGGGGACGGTTTCTCATTTTTATATTTTGTTTAAAATGTCAGCATAGGCTTTCAGGAACATTTTGTTCATATGAGAAAAGGGTTGAAGAACAGGAATTGCCATGAGAACTACAGCTCATTTTTTTCCCCCTCTGGCCGAGAGTACCACAACCGTTTCCAGGAGACCTCCATCTTTTGAAGTTATCGCCTCAGTCTGTGGAACTTGTCACACAGAATCTACTGGATTTGGTGTGGCAGTCAAACAGTCCTCAGGATCCAAATATCTAGGAGGCTGTGTGTGAGGGGGGTTGTGGGGGCTAGAGCTCCTTTGTGTTCAGTTTTGGCCCTAGGCCTGTTGCATACAACATAGTCTCTAGGAACTAAGGCTGGGGGAAGGGTTGATTTGGAGTTTTAGCTCTTTATCCAGCTAATTCTTTTTGGAAATGAAATGTTTTGCTAAAAATAACCAAGTACCTCTGAACATTAAAAAAGAGAGAAAGAAACAACAACAACAACAAAAAAAAACAAACCAAAAATTGCTTTGAAAGTTTGGTGCAATCTGGTGTAAATCCACAATGTCTCCCATGGTTCCGATGGTGAGGGGCAGGGGGTGCAGAAGACCCCTATCCCTTTAGAAAGAAAGACCTAGCAGCAACGTAAGCAAGTAAGCTCCTCTGAGTCACCCATAGGGTCTTAGGTGCACATGCGCAAAAGACTGCAGGGCTAGAAAGCCTAGCATCTGGATTACCTCACCATCCTTGGGAGGTGACCCGGAAGCAGATGTGCATGGTAGGCGGTACCGGACTTTCATTTCCGGTGCACAACAGCTCTGTAAAGTCGCTGCTGCTTCCCGTCCTTGTTTCCTGGGAAGTCAGTGGAAATCGTGTGGCTGTTCCCACGGGCCCCATGGCGGAGGGGGACGTCGGGAGCGACCAGAAACAGGTGAGGCTGTTGGTCAGGGAGCCACACTGCAGACGCAGCAAGCCTGGCCTCTGTGGTGTCTGCGCTGGCCTCCCCAGTGCAGCCTGTGGCCCCCGATGCGTCAGCCATTAGGACGCCACCGAGCCTCCCATTTTCCAACTGCGTGTTCATGGCGATCAGGGAGCTCTCTCCGTCAGCCAGGGTGTCCTCGAGCCCACAGATCCTCCTGCCTGCGCCTCCAGACAGCCAGGGTCAAGGGTGTGCGTCACCACACCTGGCTGTCGTTGCTCTTTAATCCTAAAATACATTTTCAGCGCTATGACGCAGTTAGCAAGAAGAAAAACCTTAGTCTTGTTCTCAGATTAAAAACATCGAAAACAAGTACTCAAGGAGACCTCAACAGCAATAAGGTGCAATGGTGCGGGGGTGACCTTGTCGTTCGGTAGATGTCATTACAGGATGGATATATTTGCGTGTCGTGTCGGCCTGTCCGCGGGTGTACACGCAAGCTGCTTGCTGTTATGATAAAGCTTGATCGGACCTTGCATGGATTCCAAGGCAGATTCCATGGCCGGCGAGGGTGACTGAGGAAGAGGGACAAACATGCCGGGCAGACAGAGCTTAGTGAGAAGGAAAGAGAAAAGTGATTTAAGGGGCACAGAGAGGACAGAAAGGAAGATTCCGCTGCCCCAGGGGAGCAGTGGGAAAGTGGGGGGAGGGGGAGAGCTGAGAGAGTGTAATGGGTAGGGTCTTTCTTTTAACGGGGCCCTGTGCACCAGCCCGCAGATTAGTAGTCATGGAACCCTGGGCTGACTAGGTACTGCCTGAATGCATTGTGTCAGGTGACAGGCATGCCACCATAATGCCTGAATCCTTATAGTTGCAATCATGGCAAAATTGTTAGGAAAGCAGACAGCAAAACATGCCCTGAACATATGGCCTCAAGGCTCTTGTTTGTGCTGGGCAGGTATGCTAATTGTTAACGCTATAAAGGCAGTAAGAATAGGCTTACCCGTGCGCGCTCATTTGTTACAATCAACTTCCAGAGCGAGGAGATTGAAGCAATGGCAGCTATTTACGGCGAGGAGTGGTGCGTCATCGATGATCGTGCCAAAATATTTTGCATTAGAATCAGTGACGACATCGACGACCCCAAGTGGACACTTTGCTTGCAGGTATGGTATGCTCTTCTCCTTGTAGCTCTCTTCCAGTCAACCGAATTTCATATATAACTGATGCCATTCGAGTATTTGCTCATTTATTTATTTATTTATTTTGGTTCTCTAGGCAGGGTTTCTCTATATTGCTTTGGAGGCTGTCCTGAAACTCGCTCTTTATATCAGGCAAGCTTTGAACTCATAGAAATCTGCCTGCCTTTGTCTCCTGAGTGCTGGAATTCAAGGCGTGCACCACCAATGCCCAGCCTGCCATTTGATTCTTATTGCATTGCCTTTGCTGTATTGTCATGATTTTTCGAATATAGATATTTAGATTTGAAATAATGCTTTTGCTGATTGTTGAAATTTTGCCTTCATTCTTCTAATTATTAAACATGTTAATAATGTTTAATAACTACTTGCAGGCTTGAGTTACACTTCCTTTTGTTACTCTAACCAATAACAGGAGGATTAGACCTGGAACGGTGACATTTCAGAGGAAGAGACGGTTATGAATAAAAATCCATAGAGCAATACTTGTCTCTTTATTGAGATTCAGTTGTGCTTAGCATAAAAAATTAATTGTGTCTTTCTGTCTTAGTGCTTATTCCACGGCTGCTATATTTTCATAGAAAGGATGCCGAATTGTGGATTTTGCAGTTATGTGGGTGCTGAGAATTGAACCAGGGTCTTCTGGAAGAGCAGCCAATGGTCTTAACCTCTGAGCCTTGTCTCCAGCCCCCTTAACCCTATTCTTAACTTCCATTCTGCTATAGTTTCTTTGCCAAGAATTAGCTTCTAAAACCAAGACAACCTCTCTAACAATGTGTTTTTTATGGAACCATAACTATGACAGGGGATTTTCATTTGATAGTATATAAACCAGTGGTTTGTCTTTTGTCTAGACAAATTAGGAACTTGTTCATTGGCTTGCTTTCTAAATGTAGTTGCTTTTCAGCTGTGATCAGTGTAAGCAAATTTGTTTTAAAACTTCCTTGTAGGTGATGTTACCGAGTGAGTATCCAGGTACAGCACCACCAGTTTACCAGTTGAAGTAAGCTATATTTTTACCTTTATATTCTTATGGAAATATTTTACTATCAAAGATAGCTTTCTGTACAGTCACTGTACAAAATAATTTGTTTAAGATGAAAATAGAAGCCGGCCCTGGTGGCGCACGCCTTTAATCCCAGCACTTGGGGGGCAGAGGCAGGCGGATCTCTGTGATTTTGAAACCAGCATGGTCTACAAGAGCTAGTTCCAGGACAAAGAGAAACCCTGTATCGAAAAACAAACAAACAAACAAAAAAACAAAACAAAAAAGAGAAAAGAAACTGGAAATTAGGAACATGTTTTAAGATAGTATAGAGCATTTTATAGAATGATTTGAAACATACTGATACATGCTGCCTGGTGTAATGGGAGTGCAGCGGTCAGAAAGTGCAGAGCTGTGGGAAGAGAGCATTCCTGTGGCTCAGTCTGCTAACTCAGCTCTTGTGTTAACTTCACACTGCCATCCTTCTTGAAATTGTCCAGTGTGCTGCAGGTGGCCGTGCCTGCTATTGAAGAACCACTTCTTAGTAGTTCAAATTTCATCTGCATGAGTCCCGATCTATTGATGCAAGTTACCTGTAGCCTACCTCACCTGTAACTTCATAGTTTAGAAAAGTCATGGGAACAGAGTTGTATAAATTGGCTATGAAAAGTTGTATCTAGAAGTGTTATTTTTGTGTGTATCTCAAAACTATGCCAATAAAACTAACAAAAATGGTTCTGCATTTTTATCTATTGCAAAAGATATATACAGAATGGTTTTAAATATTTTTTCAGAAAAAAAGACATTTTTACAATCACATGGCAACTTGTTGGACTCATTCTTTTTTATGTTTTGTTTTTGTTTTTTCAATACAGGGTTTTTCCGTATTGCTTTGGAGGCTGTCCTGGAACTAGTTCTTGTAGACCAGGCTGGCCTCAAACTCACAGAGATCCTCCTGCCTCTGCCTCTCAAGTGCTGGGATTAAAGGCATGCGCCACCAATGCCTGGGTGGACTCATTCTTGAGAGTAACCTATTAGTCAGTCTAGCTTTTGTATCTAGAAAAGAATTGGGAGATCCTGGCATTGTGGTAGCCATTAAAAATCTGGCGTGTTAAATTCTTGAAAAGGTTCTGCTACTGATAAAAACTTGGGTGGGTTTCTGGTACCTTAGGAACTCAATTTCTGTTTTGTTAACTCATAAAAATTCAGTAAGATTGGTGTTGATTTCGCTATGGTTTCTTTTTCTTTCTTTTTTTTTTTTTTGAGACAGGGTTTCTCTGTATTGTTTTGGAGCCTGTCTTGGAACTCAGAGAGTTCAGGCTGGTCTTGAACTCACAGAGATCCACCTGCCTCTACCTCCCAAGTGCTGGGATTAAAGGCATGTGCCACCACCGACTGGTTGCTATGGTTTCTTGAGCAGTTTAAATGAATTAAGGCCAATGAAAACATTTTAATTTTGTATAGATTTAAAAAAACATTAATGAATATTTGAAATATTCATCTAATTCTTGAGTGATTTTCTGTACTGTGTTTTGTTCAATCTCAGTGCTCCTTGGCTGAAAGGGCAAGAACGTGCAGACTTATCAAACAGCCTTGAGGAAATATATATGTAAGTAAATGACAGGTAGCTTTTCACAAGCATTCTGCTAGTGATTTCTGCTCTGGGCTTTTCTTGACAGGTGTGATCATTCCTGAACCTTCTGTTAGACTCTTTCATTAGCAATAACATTCACTTTTAGCAAACTTGAAAGATTAGTTATATAACTTCATATGTGCATTTCATCAAAAAATATGGTAGTATGTAAAGTTGGAAGACATAACACTCATTTGGCTTCTGAAAACAAATTCAGAGATACTGTACTTGTGCATTCTTGTAGCATATGATGAATAAAAATAATGACATAATTCAAACCATAGTTACTTACTAAAGGTCTAAATACTTTGATAGTTCTCTTGTATTAATCTGAAAGACTAAGATCCTACAGAGGCACTGATTTTTGTCCATCCATCCATCCATCCATCCATCCATCCATCCATCCATCCATCCATTCCTATATGGTGGGCAATGTATTAGCTCCTAGATACACATAGTTTAACAAAACCAGAAATTATCTGTTTGCTTAGCATTTAGATTTTCTAATGTGGTAAGGGAATGTATTACCTACAGCATTGTAACTCTGCCGTGATGGTGATTGAGTTTGAAAGCTTTATTGGGGTCTGGGAGTCTTTTGACTAAGAACGGAGTTAATTAGCTCACACTGATTTCAGTGAGAGGGCCCAGCATGGTGGGTGACGTGAAGTGGAATAAGCGACAGACTAACACAGTTGGCAAGACCTGGAAAGGTGCACAGGAAAATCTGAATTTGGCAGGTTGTGAGGAGTTTCTTCTTAACAGTAAGAACTGTTGAAAGCTGTATTTTGAGTGGTGGGTGCCAATGATAAGACATAGTCTGGAAAGGCAAGCCTGTTTCTCTGTTGAGATTGCCTTGAAAGCAACAGGAATTAATGGAGGAAATTTGCAAGGAAGCTGATAAGTTGTTAGTCAAGAGAAGATCAGGTTGATTTGGATTAATTAAATATATTGGTTTATTAAACCAAATACTATTCTGGATTATTAGGTATTTTTTCTTCCTGAATCCAGGAACCTAGTAAGCATATCTTGTATGTTCTAGGTATCCACCCCATTTGGTACAGTGAGAGTGCCCCCTTTATGTCCCAGGGATCAAGGCCAGGTTCCTTTTCCTCCCAAAGTTTTTAATTAGAAATGATAAGTTATCATAGAATCCATATTACTTGTTCTTCCTAAATGACCTTTCTTGGGTCCTCCTTAGTTTTTGTTATCTTCGGTATATAATTATTTCTTTAATTAAATGTGTTTGAAACCTGCTTTAAACATTACTGGCCATTCTAAAATTGTATTTCCCACATGCTTCTCTTTGTAATCCAATTACTGTATTTATCTTGTTTTCACCATTTAATGTAGAATAAGGTACATATTTGCTTACAGTCAATTTAGCGGCTAGTGGTCACGTCTCAGCTCACATTTTACTTGACTGCTTCTATGTTTCATGAAAGCCTTTCCACCCTTGACTTCCCTTATATTAACACATTTTTCTCCTTCCCCTGCCCGTGCCACAGTCTGTGCAGTGGTTTCCTGCCTGCCTGCTCAGATTCCTAGAGTCTGTGCACTAATAGAAGCCCCTTACAGGGCAAATAACCTCTTCTACCTCACTCAGAGATTTTAAACAGTTTGTTCTAAAGATAAGAGAGAGGTCATGTTTTGATTAGTAAAATTGCTTGAATAATAATTGTCATCTAATAATAGTATTTTCTTGTGGTATAAATAGCAATATGAATTGTATGGTATTTTTTTTTAAGTTTCATGTGGCAACTTTTAATGATTTTTTTTTGGTTGTTTTTTTTTTGAGACAGGGTTTCTCTGTATTACTTTGGAGGTTGTCTTAGAACTCCCTCTGTAGACCAGGCTGGCCTCGAACTCTCAGACATCTGCCTGCCTCTGCCTCCCAAGTGCTGGGATTAAAGGCATGTGCCACTAATGCTTAGCAACTTTTAATAATTTTATATTTTTCCATTCATGGGAATGAGGATGATTATGTACTTGCATAATATTAACAGCCTGTTAGGCTGTGTTAAGCTGCTTTGGTCAGTCAAGCTTCTGGAATCAGCTTTTGAGTAGCATACTTCCTTGTGTTTACTCTCATACTGATGGAATGAGGATAGTATCATTGTAAGGATGAAATGACACCCATGTAATACACTTTATTTCATATGCAGTATTGGTTTGTTAGCTTTGCACCATTTAAACATAACTCTTGAGATAGCTTACAGAGAATAGGTTTATTTTAGGATACAGACAGTTTTGGAGATTCCCATCTGTCATTGATCAGCCCTGTTGCTTTGGACTTTCTGATGCTGCAAGTGTATAGGAAAGCAGATCTTCCTAACATTAGCCAGAGAGTATAAACCAAAGGAACATGTGGGGGCTTAGTAGACAAGCCTGTCAGCTTTGTGCAATTTAATTAGCTTCTGTCTAGTTTTTTTTAAAAATAAGTCACACTAACTCCTAGTGGATAGTTAAAAGATAGAAATAAATTCTTGTTGCAAGAGAACTTCTGTAACCTGTCCTTATATTTAAATTTAGAAGTGAAAGCATTTTTGAAATATATAATTTGCATTAATTTGACAGCATTTATAATCAAGTGTATTTTAGCAGTTGTTCCTTCCTTAGCAATTGAATAACTGAAAGATAACACAATAGCATACAGTATCCAGACTTTTTTATTACTCTATATCTTTTAATTTTGCTTTTTACTTTTTTGAGACATATTTCTCTGTGTACTTTGGCTGCCCTTGAACTACCTCTGTATGACAGGCTGGCCTTGAAATCACAGCAATCTGTTTGCCACTGCCTCCTGAGTACTAGGATTAAAGTCGTGTGCCACCACACCTAGCTACTCTTTCTTTCTTCTTTTCTTTCTTTCTTTTTTTTTTAACCACTGTCTTGCTTCTTTTTCTCTCCCAAGCCTATGTATATTTTAAAACACATTGTAAACCTTTTAGAGGTTTTACTTCATCTGAATCTGACTTTACTGTAAATCTTTTTGTTTTTCTGGCCATGTGTCTTTTTTTTTTTTTTTTTTTTTTTTTTTGATTTTACGAGACAGGGTTTCTCTGTATTGTTTTGGAGGCTGTCGGTCCAGCCCGGCCTCGAACTCACAGAGATCCGCCTGCCTCTGCCTCCCGAGTGCTGGGATTAAAGGCGTGCGCCACCACCGCCCGGCTCTTTTGTCAAGTTTTAAATGGACATTCTTGCTGCATGTTGCTGGAGCCATATGTAACCAGCATTCTTCCTGCCAGCCTGGTCCCAGAGCCACATCAATACCAAATGAACATGCAAGATGCTATATTAATTATGAAGCTGTTGGCCATTTGCTATGGTTTCTTGTTGGCTAGCTCTAACTTAACTATTAACCCATAACTGCTAATCTGAGTATTTCTCTTACCGGAGAATGGGTCTGAACCTCTTCCTAGTGTCCTACATGGTGAATGACTGTGCCTCTGTTTCTCAGTTTCCTCCTCGACAACTAGTTCCACCTATCTTGCTTCTCTGTTGGCCAACAGTGCTTTATTTTATTTTATTTTATTTTGGTTTTTCCGAGACAGGGTTTCTCTGTGTTGTTTTTGGAGGCTGTCCTGGAACTAGCTTTGTAGACCAGGCTGGCCTCGAACTCACAGAGATCCGCCTGCCTCTGCCTCCCAAGTGCTGGGATTAAAGGCGTGCGCCACCAACCCCCGGCCAACAGTGCTTTATTTATCAACCAAAAGACAAACATATACACAGAAGGACTACCCCATCAAACTTCTAATTCAAACATTTTGTTCTTTAGTGGTAGACTTGGGAGCCTGGTAGAGAATGATTTGTACTGGACCCCCATGCCTCTTTGCACTGGCTTCTCAAGCAGCCGTCTCGCAAGTACTAGTGAAGGCAGACAGGGCAATGCATGAAGCTCAGTAGAAGTGCCTTCTTGGGAAGGCACGTGAGGAGAAGATATAGGAAGTGAAGGTTGAGTTTCCTCTGTTGCTGTGGAAAATTACTCGTTGTAGAAATTCTTCCAAGATACTATTTTCATATGATGAATGAGTAGTCGGATATGGTGACTCCAGTCTGTAAGCCCAGTACAGAGACTGAGATACGAAGAGCATGGGTTCAAGGTAGCCTGGGATACATAGTGAGTAGACATACAGATTATAACATGGGTGCATACATTAAGACCTTGACAAGCTGGGCGTTGTTGGCACATGCCTTTAATCCCAGCACTCGGGAGGCAGAGGCAGGTGGATCTCTCTGAGTTCGAGGCCAGCCTGGTCTACAGAGCGAGTTCCTGGACAGCCTCCAAAACAATACAGAGAAACCCTGTCTCAAAAAACCAAAAAAAAAAAATCTTGACAAAGAACAAAATCTGAATGTGAGTTTATATTTATGAAGGGATGATTTTCAAGTTTCAAAGGGGCTAGAGAGTGTTTACTGATGTATTTTGACACTTCTTATATATAGTAGGTGTTCAGTACCCATTAGTATTAAAATTTCTAGGTAATGGTGATATGAGGAATTCCGTAGAATAAGAGTGGGAGATAGAACTCTCTATAAAGCTGTGATTTTTTTCCCCAGAAAAATGTTACCTTACACTAAGAAAGGGCTGACATTATCCTGATCCCTACCATAGCCCCAAGACCTCATGCAGTGTGTACTAGAGGCTCTAAAAGAAGGATAACTCCCATGCACCTAGGTCGTTGAATCTTGTGTTTTTCTAAGCTTCCTAGACTGAATATAAATCTATCCCATAGACTACTGAAGTGTCCTTATCATTAGCTGTTTGATAGGGGAGCAAAATGCAATTGACTTAAGCATTGAACCTCAATTCTCAGTTCTTACTTTACCTTGGGCCTTCTTAATTGCTGGCAAAAACTGTTGGACAAGCTAATTGATTTCTGTAAATTTGTTTGCTTATCTCTATAATGGGGAAATCATGATGCTATCTTTGGACAGTTCTGTGTTGGTGTATATAATGTCCTTGGGACTTAGTGTATACTTAATACATTGGATCTTGTACTGCCCAGAGAAGATAGGAGTGGATATTCTTTAAAAGAAATTCTCTGTCTTTAAAGATCTTTCTAGTTGATGTCCATCCATGTTCTCTACAAATAAAGCTTACAAAGGGTTTCAGCAAAGACCATTTTAGTGCCAGGAGTTATATACCAAAGAGGTGGGTGGGTTTGACAGTCTGGAGATATTTGAAAAGTACTTATTTTGACAGTTCCCTTGGTGGATAGAGAGGAGGATGATAAAGAGGGATAATGATTTTGAGGGGAGTTAAAGGAAAGCAGTAAGACGCTGCTGTGATTGGTTAGAGCATTTCTTTAAACACACGCCGAAGCTAACAGTTCTCATCAGTCCCCAAAAACTAGATACTTGATCTTTATTTTATTGATGTTCTATCAAAACACATTCTTTTTCTCAGTGATTTGAGATAAAATTTAATTTTCTGAGGCAGCCAAATATTTGAAACCAAAATGAACCAAATATGTAGTAGACGAGTTTGTAAAAAAAAGTTATAGATATAAAAGTGATGGGTTACATGTCTTTTAGCTCTTTTAAGCTAAATTCCTGAAATAGTCTATGTAAGCTTTGTTGAAGGATTTGTGTGTCAAACAAGTAGATTGAATTGTTCAGAGTTGAGAAAAGCTAGTAGTGTGGATGGACACAAATCCCCAAACCCCCATGGATAGAAACAAATCATGTCTATACCTATCTCATTTGTGTAGTTCAGATTTAGACATTTTCTGTCCCTTCTTTGGATATAATTGTTCTCCTTAATTTAAGTTTTAATTAAGGTGTGTTAATATTGGAGCCATTTGGAATCTTTAATGTTGGTATATGCAATATATGTTACTCAGACGTAAGTGTTGGTAAATTCTGTGTGTTACGCATTTGGAAAGGCATGTGGGCTTTATTATAATGTCATAGGTTATAAGTATAAATATATTTTTGGATTTTAGGAAGATAAATTTTTGAAGTAATGCATTTTACTCCTGGATTTTGTTTAGACAGAACATTGGTGAAAGTATCCTATACCTGTGGGTGGAGAAAATAAGAGATGTTCTGATACAGAAAGCGCAGGTAACAGAGCCAGGTAAGACTGAGTGATACTTTCTGTCTTCTAATTTGGAGAAGTTAAATTTTCATATGGACATTATGATTGAAATTATACATAAAAATCTATATTTTGGTTTGTAGTTTCTTTCTCTCCTTCCTTTCTTCTTCCTTCCTTGCTTGCTTCCTTGCTTTCTTCCTCCCTCTCTTCCCTCCCTCCCTCCTACCCTCCTTTCTTTCCCTTTCTTTCTCTCCTCCCTTCCCCTCTTCCCCTCCCTCTTTCCCTCCCTCCCTCCATACCTTCCCCTCTTCCCTCCCTTCCTCCCTGCCTTCCTCCCTCCCTCTTTCCCTCCATCCCTCTCTCCCTCCCTCCCACCCTCCTTTCTTTCTCTCCTCCCTCCCCCTCTTCCCCTCCCTCTTTCTCTCCCTCCCTCCATTCCTCCCTCCCTCCCTCCTTCTCTCCCTCCATTCCTCCATCCCTCCCTCCTTCCCTTTTTCTTTCTAGAGTTTCTCTGTGTAGCCCTGACTTTCCTGGAACTCGCTTTGTAGACCAGGCTGGCCTTGAACCCAAGAGATCTGCCTCCTGTATACTGGGACTGAAGGCATGTTGACACTATGTCCTGAAAAGTTTGTGGATTTCTTGTGAGAGTTCATTTACCCATGTAGCTATAGTAATTTCTTTCTATACTGTTTCTCTGTGTATTATACTCTTAAAATGTAGAAGAATTTTGTGGGGAAAGAACTTGAATCTAAAATACGTTCTGCTTGAACGCCATCAAAGTATCAAGAACTTTGTAGAACTCCTCATGTTTGGATAAATAAATTGGATATTAGTCTTAAACACATCTAATATTCATCAGAAAAGAACTCTTAAGTGTTTTGAATGATATTAGGATGTAGAGTTTAATTTTAAAATAGACTTTCAGAATGAGACACAATTCACACGCCATAACTATTCACCCTTCTTACAAGTTGAAACACTGCTGCATGATCAGCCTCCATTGTGCTGCTGAGTAGACAGAGGGCAGCATGGGCTTTTGTCCCTTTACTTTACTTTTCTGCCACTCACCACAAAGACCTGTGCAGAGAGAGAAACTCCATTTCCCATTTGGCTTGGTAGTTTTTCTAAATTGCTTTTTATTGTCACCACTTGGAAATTATTTTCTGTGTTGGGGGAAAGAATTATAAAAGAGCCCTGTAGCTTATTTAGAATTTTTAAAAGAGGGTTATTTACAGAGAACTAATTGTTTTGTATGTTTAAAGTTGATAGCACTATGTGTGTTTTAGATCACTTTTACCATTTTTCTGTAGAAGCAAATATTTTCGCTGCTGTGTTAAGTTCACAGAGGAGTGGAGAGAGAGTGGAGAGTGTTTTCTTTGACTTTTGGATCCATGTCCTGATTTCACAGCATTCAAAGCTTATGAGAAACAGTAAGTCTCTGAAAGTTCTTAAAGCCAAGCGAACTTTGCCAGCTTGTTTCGTGGAGTTGAGTAGCTGTAGACATCAAGGTTGTTCCAGTCCACATGAAGAGCTCCAGAACATTGGCAGCATTCAACTTTCAGGAACATTTAACACATTTCAGCAGTGATGTGCCCCTCCATAACCTTGACTCTTCAGGTTTAGAAGTTACTTTTTGTGTTGAAAAGTACTTTAAAATTTTATTTTAGAAGTTTTGTATGGGTCTTTTATTTAAAATTGTTTTTGGACTAGGATTATAGCTTAGTGGTAGGATAGGTACCTGGCAAATCCTGTACCCATTACATTCTATTCTAATTTTTTGAAAAATTAAAACAAAACAAACAAACAAACAAACAAAAAAGCCTTCTGTATTAGAGCAAGAGTGAGTGATTAGGGTATAGCATCAGAATTGTCTTCTACAGGGCAGCTACAGTTCAAGTAATTAATTTTTATTTCAGTATAATTTTTAAAAAATATTTTATTTATTTATTGTGTATACAGCCTTCTGCCTACAGGCCAGCAGAGGGTACCAGATCTCATTCAGGGTGGTTGTGAGCCACCTTGTGGTTGTCAGGAATTGAACCTCATTCAGGACCTCTGGAAGAACAGTCAGTCAGTGCTCTTAACTGCTGAGCCATCCCTCCAGACCCTGTTTTTTATTTTTATAGAATAAAATCTTTAAATTTTTAAATATGTATACACAACCTTTTAAATTTTAAAAAGACACTAGAGGTTATTTTAAACTCATGGAAAAGTATCAGGAACAGTAAAAATAGCTTTCATCTTGTGTAACAAGGAATATATTACCCTCTTATGTAACAATGGAGTAATTACCAGGAGTAGGAATCTAACAACAGTCAATACTATTTGGTTAACTAAAGAGCTTTCTCAGGCTTCACAGGTTTTTCCACTGATACCCTTTCTTTTGCTGTAGGAGTTTGTCCACAATTCTACACTCCATTTATTTATTAGTTTGATCTCTTCCATACTGTAATCCATTCCTCAGTCTTTCCTTAACCATTTAAACAAATGCAAGAGTATATGTACATATGAATTTGTGTGCAGGTGCATGTGTGTGTACACATGGAGCCAGAGGACAGTCTGCGGTGTTACCCATAGAAATGGCATTCTGTCTCCTTGGAGACAGACTCTCATTGGCCTGGAGCACACCAGTTAGGTTAGAATTGCTGTCAGTGAGCCTCACCGATTTTCCTGCTTTTGCCTCCCTGTCAGTGGGAAGGACTCCAGGGATAGAACTCAGGCCCTTATGCTTGTGTGGCAACCTCTCCAGTCCCTTTTCTTAACTTTTATAACCTTGACACTCCTGAATTTTCTGTTTATTTTGTGGTCTTGTCAGTGCTTATGATTGGAGTGAGCCTTTTTGGTAATAGCACCTAGCAATGATACTGAGAAGTTCATGATGTTAGTTTGCTTCCTAATTGCTTTGCAGCACAGGACACCACACCAGGAAGTTCATAAGTTTGCCTCCTGACTGTTAATGTTTACCTCCATCCTTTAGTTAAAATGGTATCTACCAGTTGTCTCCACCCTAAAGTTAGTATGTTGGGCTTCTCCAGAAAGACAAACCTCATAAAAATATGTTTATGCTTGTATGTATATACAGCTTTATTTTGAGGAATTGACTTGTAAAGTATGAGGATGGTAAGTTTGGAATTTGCAAGGACCAGCACAGTGTAATTTAATGTTACAGTTATGTCCAAGGGTAGTCTTCCGGAAAATATCCTCTTTGTGGAGCTCTGTCTTTTCCCATTAACTTGGATGAGGCTCCCTATTGTGGAGGAGGACAAAATTGGTGGATGTAAATGTTGATCCCATCCAAATATGGCTTCATAGAAACATCTGTAATAGTGTTTGTTCAAAGATTGCCACATTAGGGCCTCACTAAGTTGACATGTAAAATTAATCATGGTAGTTAATGTCTTTGATTTTTTGTGGGGGAGATTTTTTTTTTGGTGGGAGGAAGAGGGTCTTGCTATGTTGCCCAGTACTCAGGTTGGCATCAAACCCCCAAGTTCACATGATATTCTTGCTTTCTTCCAACTATAGTTTTGGAAGGCTGTACTGAGGTTCTTTATTTTTTTCAGTACTGGGGATTGAACCAGGCACTTGCTTGCCATAAGGAGGGCTTTGCCCCTGAGCCACTTCTTTCCCTTCCTGTTCTCTCTTATACTTTTACCTACTATTTTAGTATCGTCAGAAGAGCCTATCAAGATCTTTATCACTCTCATTTTCCATATCCTTCATTTATTTATTTCTTAGAATTCTGTTGTAAGAAAACAATCATGACTCCTTTTGTTGAAGAATGATGTGTAGAGGTCAAGATCCAGTCCCTCCTTCCCTCCCTCCTTTCTCTGTCTCTGTGTGTGTGTGTCTGTATGTCTCTCTCTTTCTCCAACCCCCACCACAGATGACTTGGAACTTGCTGTGTAGACCAGACTGGCCTGGGATTCACCAAGATCTGCCTGCTTTTTTGTCTGCCTCCCAAGTGTTAGGATTCCAATGATTTTTGTATTTTAATATTTGTTTCAAGGATCAATCATAAATCTCATATTCACTTAGTTCCAGATGTAAAGAAAAAAACTAAAGAGAAAAAAGTTGAACGTGATGTCAATGTAGGACGTCGTCGTCCAGGAAATTCAGCTAAAAAATCAGACCGCAACGTCAGTGAACATGTACCAGGTATGGTGTTTAACTAATTTCTCTGGAGATCAGGCCATGTTGCTCTTTAGGAGGCCTAGAAACAGCAAAGACTCATGTGTGAGGGTGTGCTTGCTTGTGAACATTAAAATGTGTTCCCTTCCTATTAACCTTTTGGTTAGCAGCAGATAAGACAGTTAAGTTCTCTACCATAGTTGTAGTGATTTTTAAACTTGTTGAAAAGATGGAACAGCTGTTCATCATTGCACTTTTATGGAATACTGACTGAATATAGTACTATTGTGTTTAATTCCATTATGTGAAGTAGGAACAGTTTTACTAGAAGACATATTATAACCATACAATATAAAGCCAGTCAGAGATTTCCCATTCCAGAGGTTGGTCTATATGGAGAAACAAGTTGTGTAAGCATCTGATGTCATTGGTCTGAGAAGCCCTTTACTCTTTTAAAAACTAGATGCTATACCAACTTAAACTACTATGGCAGTCCGAGATTTGAGTCCTGGCTTTGTACACTTTCACTGAGTGGCAATGGCAGGTGGAAGTCATTTATTTTCCCTTACATAAAATAAATTTATGAACATTTTACTTCAAGTTTAATTTTGGTAGACAATTATTTATGCTGTTTTTGCTTAGATTTTCCATGTAATATTGTTTAAATCCCAGCTCTTTTCCTTTGTTGCTGATTTTCTTTTTTAAAAAACAAAAGGTAAACTAATTCTTTGATTTTTATAGAAGTGGAAGAACTTCCTCCAATTGATCACGGCGTTCCCATTACAGACCGAAGGAGCACTTTCCAGGCCCATGTGGCCCCCGTATCCTGCTTTAAGCAGGTGCGTGACTGTGTCTTATCCATCTTGATCCTGCCCCACCAGTGCGGTTCTAGTAGATGGTCTGCAGCAACACTTCCAACTCACGCTTGCGGTTCCACATAAAATAAACATCATGTATTTGTTTCCCCACTCCTAAATTCCTGTAAGCACGAGAGATTTGCTTGATTCTGCTTTCAAAATTGTATAAACTTTGCTTTTTTGTTGAGGATTAAACTAGGTCATGTCCATTCTAGACAAGAACTCTACACTGAGTTACAACACTAGGGTTGTATTTAATCTCTCACTGGATCTTACTCTTCAATGAATCTTTAAGAAAAACTTGCGTTTATGTATAGACCATGATGCTTGCCATCTGGTCAAAAGGAATTATTTGTTCTACTGAATATGTGAAGCTAAGTACATTCTACTGTTGTCTGATGAGGGAGGGCATTGGGACCAATATGCCAAGGCCAGTCATATTGTTTCTTGGTGTTAGTTGACCATATTCCTACCAGAGTATGTAAGTGGCAACTCATTTTTCAAAAGCTCTGTTTGTAGGTCCTTGTCTTTCTTAATTCTTTCCAGTAGATGTCTTTATTTCTATGTTCTATATATACAGGAAATAACAGGAAAAGTGCCTTTGTTCAACACTTTGGGGTTAGTCTCCTCCCTGTGGGCTCTGTTTCTGCTTTCTCCTCCACCCCTCTGTCTTTTCTTTGCATTGCTGGGAATCAGACTCAGTACTTCCCACATCTAGGCAAGTGCTCTGCACCCCAGCTTTCTAAGCACCTCTGCAGCCTAGACTCTTAGGAATGGAGCTCTGTTTACAAGGACTCTGCTCTCAGAACCTGGGACAGGATGCTTTCCTCTACCTGGATGTGTGCTCGAAGAACCACCTTTCCATTCAAATGACTGATTTTCCTCTCAAGACTTTGCTCGCACTCCTCCAGGATCCTTCTCTGAATTGTCCTTCCTAGACCCACTTTTCATGATCACAGGCCCTCAGACCTTGGTGAGCCAAAATCATCTTTAAGATGATTATCTACTTGACTGTGTTGATCCAGAATCTGGTAACAGATGACTGTAGATTGCATGGTATATGATTAAACTTGGTCTCTCTAATTCATCTCAGGCTCTTCTCAGTATTTCTCTTGAGTTCGTGGCAGTCTGATCATATCTCACTGTCTTTTCCAGCCAGTCTCCTTCTCAGAGTCTTTGCTGATTTCCATTGCAAGGGGAAAGAAGTCTAAACTCTTTACACAAAACCACTTTAATTCCTCATTTACCATTAATAGTGCACCTTGCATCTTCTTCATGCTCGTATGGTGCAACAGATAGCATTTCATCAGCCTCTCTTCTTATTTCTTTTAGGGCTGACAGGGAATACAGACACCGGTTAAAGCTGAGTCTCAAGTAGACATTTATGGGACATATTCATATTGAAATATATCTGTTGTTGATTTGAAATTTTGTTTTGACTTTTTTGTTTAATTATTTATCTATTCCTCCTATTCCTTTCATTTGCCCTTTGAGTGAATTTCTTCATGCTTCTTCCTCTCCCTTGCATTTTGATACAGAAGAACTCTACTTATAAGAGCTGGGTCAGCACTCCCCTACGAAGTGTACTTGATTCCTAGTGACGATTTTGATTTCTAACGTTGGGAGCATGGTGTTACTGTACATCTATCATAGAATGAGCATGTGCAGGACATTTCCCTTTTCATAGAGTGAGCACATGAAGGATATTTCAGAGCTACTTTCTGTTTCTGTTTTTGTTTTTGGTTTTTTGAGACAAGGTGACAGGGTTTCTCTGTGGCTTTGGAGGCTGTCCTGGAATTAGCTCTTATAGACCAGGCTGGTTTCGAACTCAGATATCCACCTGCCTCTGCCTCCTGATGCTGGGATTAAAGGTGTGCATGACCAACGCCCGACTTCAGAGCTAGTTTCTGGAAATGGTTGCATTCACATGAAAAGTTCTCACATGGGGAACAAACTTCCATACATTGTGCCTTAGACATACAGCCCTAAGCATCTGTTGGTAATTAGTGCTCAGAAAATGTCTGCCCTATTAGGTTACTTCAGAGCTTAGGGGATTCTTTAAATGACTATTTTGGTATAAGATTTATATCAAATCACTTTAATTCTGCTTTTGTAGCATTTACAAAGCAAATAAAAGTCATACTTGTTTATTTGTATTGCTGCTGTTTTAAGGTGGAAATGGTTCTTGCCAAATTGTACGAGAACAAGAAGGTAGCCAGTGCCACCCACAATGTCTATGCCTACAGGTGAGTGAGAGCTTTTAGACTCTGCAATTTATAAGCAGCTCTTGGGAAATTAGGCATGATTGTAAAATAGCACGTTTTTGTTATAGTAGTAGACCTCTGAAATATGTAAACACTGCTAGCCGAGAAAAACATAGCTGGAGGGCATTTGCTACTGCTAACTACATTTGCTAGTGTTTCGGTGTATGTTGTCTTTTCTCTGAGAAGTTTAATCATTTTAACACTTTTAACTTGTGTCCCATTTTTCTGGTTTAATAAAAATATTTCCTATAGTTGCTTCATTAAAAATTGTTTCAAAGGCTGGGCGTTGGTGGCGCACGCCTTTAATCCTAGCACTCGGGAGACAGAGGCAGGCGGATCTCTGTGAGTTCGAGGCCAGCCTGGTCTACAGAGTGAGTTCCAGGACAGCCTCCAAAGCCACAGAGAAACCCTGTCTCGAAAAACCAAAAAAAAAAAAAATTGTTTCAAGTCCTTACTTGCTTGAGGTTCTATAACACAATTTATTTAGCCATTTCTTTTTCATTATAGTTTTTCAAATTTTTGTAAAGCAAGTTTGACAGACATTTTGTTTTTTTCGGGGAGGGGTGTTTCAAGACAGGGTTTTTCTGTGTAGCTTTGGCTGTCCTGGAACTTGGTCTGTGTACCAGCCTGCCTTTGAATTCATGGAGATCCGCCTGCCTCTGCCTTTTAAGTGCTGGGATTAAAGACGTGTGCCACCATTGCCTGGCAGGTAGGAATGTTTTGAACATTAATTGAGTTATTTCTGCTGAGCAGATTCCGTTTCTTCACCTTTGTGTGCACACATGCACATACGTGTGTGGGGTGTGCTTTCCTGTGTGGAGGCTAGAAGTCACTGTTGGCCGTTGTATCTTATTTGCTCTCTTCCTTAGCTTTTGAGGCAAGGTCTCTCGCTGTACCCGGACCTCAGTATTTTGGCTAGACTAACTGGCCAGCACACCCCATCACCCCCTGGTCTTTGCCCCCTCAGTGCTGGGGTCCAGGCACACGATGCACAGCAGCCTTTTAGGTGGGTGCTGGCGATTGAGACTGAGGTCCTTGTGCTCATGCTTACTGAGCTCTTGTCCCAGCTCCTCACCTTCCTTTTTAAAAATGAGTTGGAGATAACATTAGAAGGAAGACAATAGTTTTATAGTTTTATAGTAGAATTATCAGAAAGTAGGAATACTTTTCTTTTTTTCTTTTTTTTTTCTTTTTTTTCTTTTTTTGGTTTTTACGAGACAGGGTTTCTCTGTATTGTTTCAGAGGCTATCAGTCCAGCCCAGCCTCGAACTCACAGAGATCCGCCTGCCTCTGCCTCCCGAGTGCTGGGATTAAAGGCATGCGCCACCACCGCCCGGCTTTTTTTTTTTTTTTTGGAATACTTTTCTAACTTGATATATATTTCAGATTTTCTCAAAGGTTATTCATTTATTTAGTTAGCTAGTTTTTGGTTTTTTGAGACAAGGTTTCTCTGTGGCTTTGGAGGCTGTCTTGGAACTAGCTCTTATAGACCAGGCTGGTTTTGAACTCATAGAGATCTGCCTGCCTCTGCCTCCCAAGTACTGGAATTAAAGGCATGTGCCACCACTGCCCAGCCCAAAGGTTACTTTTAAACTAATTTATACTCATATAAATAATGAGTTAAGAGTGCTTTTACAGCATGCCTTGGGGTTTTGAGTGCAAACATTTGCTGATTTGCAAATGAAAACATAAAGAGCTTTTAAAAATATACAAAGTAATAAGACTTAAAGATATAGTTTAGCCCTAAAATAAAACAGAATGTGTGTGTGTGTGTGTGTATGGAGTTGGCATAAATTTAAAATTCAGTTGAATGTTTATAAAACCTAGGTTAGACGAACTTCAAATTCAAAAGATTCAATTTGCGTAAGGAAGTTTTTCGTATTAGTAGTTTCACATCTTTTAAAAAGATTTATTAATGTGTATGAGTGTGTGCTCCCTGAACAGTATCTGGCTGGAAATCAAATGCATTCCTTTTGTTTGCTTGCTTGTTTATTTGTTTGCTTACTTATTTATTGTCCTTTGGATAGGGTCTCATATAGCCTAGACTGGCCTCAAACTTGCTTTCCTGGGTGTTAAACTGATGCTACTTCTACCTTCTAAGTGTTGGGATCACAGTCACATGCCATTACGTCCAGTACTATATTGAAAACTTGGTGGCTGAACCAAATGAGAGGAAGACTAGGAAGCACTCCCATGTGTTGACCTTTGCCTGCCCTGACGCACTTGCCTTGTTCCCACCGATTCTTAGGCTCTTGTCGGCAGGGGTGTGCTGTCTGTTTCTTCATGCCGCTTTACAGTTTCTATGGTGTAATGCCTGGATGCAGTGTATTCTCAGTGGATGGCTTTCCATCATGGCTCTTTAGGACCTCTCAGCTTTCAGCTAACGGAAGGAAAATCTTCTCACAAAAGCAGCACTTTAATAAGTAGGGAAACCTCTGGGTCCTAGTGTCCTCATTGTGAAGATGAGCTTATGTGGCCAGCCAACCATGGCAATGCCTCAGACAGAGTTCAAGAAGGATTTTAAAGATAAATATGCTAATTTTGGAGGTGATCATTTTGATGACATAATATATTGAGGAATACCATTTACTATATGGCATATTTCAGTATACTTTGATGCTTCCAAGTATAGCCCTCCGTATGTATTTTAGGATATTCTGTGAGGACAAGCAGACCTTCTTGCAGGACTGTGAGGATGATGGAGAAACAGCTGCTGGGGGCCGTCTTCTTCACCTCATGGAGGTCAGTGTAGATTTCAACTCTGAATGTGCATTTACAGGCCATAGTTTCCCAACAGACCAGAGCTCCACTTAGAAAGCAGGGAGGATTTGAATGATGTGAGACACTGGTCTTACACATTGATTGAGGAGAAATCTTCACCCCTGGACCCGGGTCAGAGTGCTGACAGTTAATACCAAATGCATGCTTTCCAGGGAACACAGGAGTGTCTGCTGCTCTAGGAAACTGCCCTTGGTCCCTGGCTTCCTTCTCTTGTCTCTGTGCAACTCCCTGTTGCTGGATGCTGAAACATGGAGTAGATGGAGGATGTTTCATTGTTAAAACTTAAATTGCTTGTCTCTTTTGTCTTTGTGTTCTGAGCCATTGTCTTGACCATCTTCCAAAGTTTATGTATTTTTAACAACTTTGCATTTAATTTTCTTAAGCAGTGTTCTTTTCCTTGTTAGAAATAATTTCCCCTCTTTCTCAAAAATGATTTATTTTATGTATATAGATATTTTGCGTGCATTATATTTGTGTACCATGTGCATGCATGCAGAGGCCAGAAGATGGTATTGGATCCACTAGAACTGGAGTTACAGATGATTGAGCTGCTATGTGGGTGCTGGGAATCGAACCTGGGTCCTTGCAAGCAAAAGCAGCAGGTACTCTTTAATAACTGACTGAGCCATCTCTCTAGTTCCTATATTAGGTTGTTTTTTTCCTGTTTTCTAATTCTGTTTTTCTTAGGAATATTTTTCAGTTTTTACAGATAAAGTAGCTTTCAAATTTTGTCTGCATGTATTAATTTGAGTTCCTTTATTTAACTATTCTCAGCCTTAAACTTCTCCAGGTCCATTTTAGTTTCTGTATCTCATCCTTTGTCTTTCATCCTGCTGGATATTCTTCATCTGTTTAGTGGTCATTGATTGTCCATTCGTTTTTAGGGTGTGCTATTTTTTTCCTCAGGTTTCTTCTGTTCCTGTATGTGGGGTTTTCTTTTGGACTAGACCTTTCTCTTCAGTAGGAGCGTTCTTTTTTGTGGGGGTCAGATCTGACCACTGGTGGCTTCCCCTTAAAGGTAGTATTGACAAGTGTCACTGTGGCACTCTTCAGTAGTCTGTTCGGGAGCAGGTTTTTATTTGTTTATTTTGTTTTTGTTGCTGATAGAAGGCTGCCTAAACTTAGCTGTTTCTGGTAAAAGTGAATAAGAATGGGTGCCATACCCTCAGTGTTCCCCCTCCACTCTAACCTGTTGCTCCAAAGTTGAGAGTTTGAGGGTGTAGAACACTGTACTGACTTTCCAAGTTCCCTTTTGTCCTATCGTCATCCCTGAGCTGTAGCAGCCTTATTCAGTGCATGCCATTCTATATGCTGACAGTTTCTTTCTTAAAACTCTTATTTGTACCTATGTATTTGTGTGTGATCATGCTTCTGAAAATAACAGATCTTGAATGTGAAGAATGTCATTGTGGTGGTGTCACGTTGGTATGGAGGAATTCTGCTAGGACCTGATCGGTTCAAACACATCAACAACTGTGCCAGGAACATACTGGTGGAGAGGAACTTCACACGTCCACCTGTAAGTAACTGTTGATGCTCTAGTTATGAGTTTGCTATCACTGTGAAACTCCAAAAATAAAATCAAGAATGGGTGAATTTATGGGCATTGCATTGGTAAAGCTATTGAACTAGGATGCTGGAGACCTAGGTCTTAATCGGAATGATGAGAGAATCTGATTTTATAAGTCTGGTCTGTAGAGTTTATAGTAGAAAAAGTAGATACCCTTCTAAATACTAACCCTCAAGCTGAGATCCAGGAAGATATGAGCTGTTACACGGAGTAGATGTTCTTGAGGTAACCGTAAAGTCCTGAAATTCTGTGCCAGAGTATCTGTGCTTCCCTGACATGTCTGTGGATGTGTCTGTTTTGCTTATGCATTGTATATGTTTATAGTTATATATTTAGACTAGGGAGAATGGAGATAAATGAAATAATATTGAGATTTTTCAAACATAAATATACTAGGTTAAAATGTTTTTCTTGACTAGTCTTGCCTGTCACGAAATATTATATTACACTATACGCCCCAGTGTCTTTAGGCAATGCTGATGCATTTGGAAGTACTTATGCTTCGCCTTATAGACCAGATGTATGCTTGCTGTGAGGTTCTGTCTGTTCATGGATGTGAAGGTGCTGCATTGACTGGTTTCTTTTCCAGGAGGAGTCATCTAAGCATCTGGGAAAGAAGAAAGTAAAAAAAGACAAGAAGAGGAATGACCATTAATACTTGAAACTTTATGAAAGGGTAATTTTCGAGTCATTCTGTACACATTCCATAGTTAACAAATACACAAAAATGGTCCACTTGATAGCTCAAGTCAGCCAGTTCATCATGGACACCAGCATCGTGTTTCCTTCCTTAGCTCCATCATTTAAGAAATAGAGAATTTAGGATATAGTCACATGTGTTTCAGGCTTGTGTGGGAGAACTGATGTGAGCTTAATTGCCATTTCATATAACTCGGAAGGTGACAGATGCAGGGCATAGTACCTGAGCTAACTGTCTATTTCAGCTTGTGTCGAGTGCCTTTGTTTGACAGGGAAGATGTATATTCAGAAGACTATAAATGCCTGATTTCTTGTGATATAAATTCTCATACAGTTAAATGACCGTGTGTTACTGCTCCCTATAGCATATTAGAGTGGGAGCTCATTGAAAATTGAATTCTTGGAGACTCTTTTCCTTGTGATTTTACAAGTTTGCCACTTTTCATTTTATAGTGTTCATCATGGAGTATTAGATTAAGTGACAACAATACAGGAGTATCCATCTGTGATTGTGTGCCACAGTGGTAATTTAACATACTCGCTAGCCCAAGTGGCATGAATTCCTCAGTTTTGTTGCAAATTGGTGTTTGTGAAATTTGAGATTTTGTAAGTCTCTGCCTTTTGTTGTTTAATTCCTGTAAGGAAACACAGTGAGCATCGAGTCTCAGTAGTTCTTCCATCCTCTACGTGTGTTACTGTAACATTACAGTGTCTCTGAACAAACCTTCCTGTGTTCTTCCTATGTGTGTCAACGGGACACTTAGAGAGTAAGATAGAAGTGGCAGAATGCCCTGGTGCAGGGGAAAATGGACTAGTTTGACGCACACTTGCATCTGTGTTCTGGACAGATTCTTTTAGTTCTGTGATTTTTGTTGAGAGATGGAGGGACAAATCTTCTTATTAGAAAAAAATCTTTCCCCACAGATTCTTGGCAAATCTCCCATTCTAACAGTGTCTCTTTATTTACTTTTTACCTGCATACTACTTGTAAGGAAAAAGACAATGTTTCCCTTTGAGATGTAGGTAAGTTGTACACTGTTATCGTTCAGATATGATGCCAACTTTTACTAGGTTGATCAAGTGATCACAGGCTTGTTTGACTTCCCTCCCAAGGAAGGGACCAGAAGTTAGGAAACAGCTTTGGGATGGCGCTACAGCGTGGAGCATATGAGGTTGGGCAGATGTTTTTCTCTAACCTTTAACCCTGAAAGATCCACATCCTCACTTGGTATTTTAAATAGGAATCCAGGAGCCAGCTTTACACTAGAGTGGGTTCTGAGACAGAAGTCTTATTTTCAACATTATTTAATGTTGTAAGTTATTGAGAATTATAGGATGACCTATATGTGTGTATTTGGAGCACTTACCTCTGTTTCCATGAAATGCTGAGTATATCCTATGTATTAACTATTAATGGAATTTAGACATTATTTGCTAAAGACAATTTCATAGTCTTGACATTTCAGACTGTGAAAAGCGATAAAAGCATTAAGATTTATGCTGTAGGAAGAAGGAGTAATTTTTCCCAGCACACTGATTTCTTTCCTGGTGTTTTGTCCAAAATATATTAGTGTTTACAGAGGACAAAACATTTTTTGTAACTCTGATCTTATTTTCCTTCACTTAAAAATGTTATGTTTTCCAAGATTACTAACCACATTTTGTGGGTTGAGATCCTTAACCTTCTTTACTGCAGGTGGGAGGAAAGATCCCAAATTCTCCAGTTCTAACTCCTGAAATTACATATTTCACACTTACCACCAATGCAAAATAATGGTAGCATATTTTTCTCTACTAAGATAGAGAAAAATCATATGTAGAGAATTTTCTAGTTCTCCAAATATTAACTTTCTATAGCCAGGCAGAGTCTGTTGTGGTGTTCTCTGTATTAGTTCAAGTGTTGTTCACATGCTGGTATATAAAAGCAAGTAGCATCTACTTTGATGAGCACAGCAGTAGCTGCATGAAGGAGGCGCCTATAATGCAAGACAGGCTGTTGGAAGGAAATTCTTTCAAACCAATCACAGAATAGATGAAGCAGATACTGTGTGCAGGGCAGGTTGAGTGTAGTGTGAAATTGTAACCATATCCAGTCCACTAAAGAGATAACCGTAAATGGTGTATACAGTTCTTATTTTTTCTTATGCATGATTTTGTATATATGGCTATTTTCTTTCCATAAAGTGGTATTAAACTATATATACTGTTTTTTATCCTACACATTTCATATAGAAGTATATTGTTAACATTTTCCCATTATCAATAAATATTCTTCTATGGCTTAACTTTTTATGACTGCATTGTATTCTGTCTTCTGGGTACACTGTAATATACAAACTCATCCCCCAGTTGTTTTCGGCAAGTTTGCTTTTTCTTCAGACATTAGCTCTTAGAAGCAAATATTGTTTCATTGCATGAAAGTTTTTATATGTATCCCTATTAGGAAAATATAGAAATAGAATTCTTCACGAAGCGTTTATATATTCTCATAGTGCTTTGTAGACTTGCCTCACTTTTCTTTATCCCCATCACAATTAGCAAATGCTCAGTTTTTTTTTAAAGTGGGAAAATAAGCAATGTGGTTGATAAATTTCCCAACGTCCATAAAATGGTGTAAATATAGGAGTCCTATGTACCTGTACTCAGTCTTCTCTAGTAATTGTGTCACATAGAGGCCTGAGTTTCATTTCCAAACAAGGAAATGCATTCCAGGCACACTCCTTTGTTAAATACAGGTTTCCATTTTCCCTTAAATATGGAGCACCTTCCTTCTCTTAGCGCTGCCTGCCCACAAAGACCTGAATCATCTTCTCGCACTTTTTTGGAGATGTTGGGAATAGAACCCAGGGCTTTGTACATGTTAGGCAAGCCCTGTACCACCATGTATACCCTTAGGTGTTTCCTCTTTTTTACGTCATTTTTGTTGTTGGTGGTGTCGTGTCTAAAACTACTTAACCTTAACCTCATGGCCATAAATACTTAAAAAGATTTTTACTGGTATATGCCTATGCCAGAAGTCAATGTTTGAGAGAATGGAACTCATCAGTTGGACTAGCTTGCTGGCTAGTGAATTTGAGGCATTATCCATGGTTGCTGGAGATCCAAACACAATCTTTGTGTGTGGTGATATATTCTTTGTGATTTATTAAAGCTTGCCTGAGGATTCAGAAAGCAAAGCCAGCCTCACACTATAGAGATCAGGTGGCACGCACCTTTAATCCCAGGACTCCAGAGAAAGGCAGATGGATCTCTGAGTTCAAGACCACCCTGGACTACCGGAGAGTAAATCAGAGCTAATGCCTTTGGTGCCAGGATTTGAGAGGTATAACAGGTAGAGGCAATCAGTCTGAGAGTTAGTCTCTAGCCACACTGAGGAGAGCATAGCAGTCTGAGTGAATCTGAGGAGCAGTGAAGTCGGGAGCAGTTTGAGGATCGCCCCTTGTTCTGAGCTACTGGCTTGGCTGCTTTGCTTTTCTGATCTTCAGTTTGAGGCTTGAATCCCAAAATCTGTCTTTTGTTTATTGTGTTATAATTGGTGCCCAATGGTAAAGTACGAATACACAAAAAAGTTTCTTTGAAGCTACTGGCCCAGGCCTACACCTGATCTGGAGACAGGACTCCCACTGGAGTTCCTCCTGCCTGAGTTCCTGCCTGACCAGCTGGGTTTTCTCCTCAAATCTTTGAGAAAGTGTACAGTTTTTTGGTTGTAGCTTTTCTAAATAGTCTTATGCTGCCACCCAAACTTGGGCAACTTTTAGGGTTTTTCCACAGTCCCTCTCCTCTGGCTGACATTCTCAGCTTATGGCCACAAGCTAATTCTCCGATTCAGATCTCACAGTTCTCACTGACATCATTGTCAGATTTGGTAAGTCAATTGGAAATTCTTAAAGGAGGGCATTTTTATGTCTAAAAATATTGGCTGATATGAGTGCTAAGATGCAGGCATTAGAAAAACTTATTAAAGCAGAGTATAGAGATATTTAAGCCCAAACTGAGGAATTACATGGAGAACCAAATTCAGCATTACATTTTAAGGTTACAAAGGAACATGCTAAGGTCTTAGGAGAACCACCATTAATATATCTAGTAATCTTACAGGAAGTGCCAAGTGATAGAGGTTCTAAAGAGCTACTTGGAAGCCTTGTGACAATGGTAGATTTACGGAAATAAAGAAACATGCAGAAGTTGTGTGCGAGTCAATTCCTTCCCTCAGGCCCTCCTAGTCATTTTTCTTTTGTCAGCTATAGAGTCTTCTGGACCCTGTGAGAGATGCCAAAATGGGGGCTGGTACCCCATAAAGGATTCTGAAAGGAACACAGATATAGGATTAAAAGGTAGATTATTGAATCTACTTCTACAAAGTATGGATGTGATGAGATTAAAAAGTAGGTTATTGAATCTATTTTAAAAAGCAACTACTAGTTTTGAATATTTTACATTGGATTGGACTTATAGGTATTGTATGTAAATATTATATATTGATACAAATTTGAGATTAAATTGTTAAGACACACTGTACATATGTTTCTAATCTTGTCCAAGGTATTATACCTATACAGCTCATGTAATACAAATTATCAATGTAATGCAAATTTCTGGTTCTTGAAAGTTATTATTACCAACCATATGAGATAATAAGGAAATGTAGGTAAGTAATTAGTCACCTGTTACAACTGAACCTGTAATCGCATTAGGTATGTTTTCAGAGTCAACCAGATATATATTTTAGATAGACGGGTCATCTTCAAACACTTCAGAGATCTACAGAATATGGCATTTAAAATGTTTTAATAACATAGGTATTTTTTATAACAGTGAGACATGTTTGCTCCTGACAGCATCAGTGTACATCAGAGAAGATGATGAGTATTGAAGAAACTCACTTGGAGTTTACTTTGTGGCAAAGGTTAGCCACTAGGCAAAAAGTGTCCTTGCCTTGAATGAATACAGCATGCTGTCCAAAATGAATAAACAGGACACAAAAGAGAGTGACTGCAAAATCTTGCCAAGACAAAGCAGGACAGCCCTTCAGAAAATCCCCCTTCACAGAAAAGTCTGTCAGAGATGCTAGGCCTGTAGGCTGAAGATGGATGCCCCAAACATTGCAGAGGAACCATAGGTGACTGTCTAGGCAGCCGTTTTCATCATCTCTCATATCTTTTGGAAGTCACTTGCTCAAACTTCCTGCTTACATAGTTAGTATTATTTCCTTCTCAGGTCTCTTAGGGAGTTGAAGACTAGATAGTTTTCTTCATTTACCAGACTCAGAAAGGAAACTCACTAAAGAAATGTAAAGCGTAAAAGGTTGAAAGACGTTAAAAAATACTTTGATAAGGCAAGGCATGATAGAAAGTAAATTAGGTACAAGACTTTAGATTCACTAAAACAAAATATATAATGGAATATTTTCTCTGAATTTGTTAAACGCAAATGTGTTGCTGGAAGTTTCTGTCCCACCTGATTGGTCCCACAGCCCCTTCAGCCCCAAATAAACACAGACACTGTATTAATTATAAAACTATTGACTGATGGCTAGACCTTATTAGCTAGCTCTCTCTTAATTATTTACCCATAATCCATGTATTTCTACATGGACTCATCTTACCAGAGAACACCTGGCGTGTCCTGTCTTCCCCATCTCTACATGGCATCTCTCTTGGTGACCTCTCTGCCTACCTTTCATAGTAAAAATATTGTGACAAAAGTTACCAAGTAAGAACTATAGTTAACAATATTTAGTTCATTGTTAATCTATCTCTGGGTTTTTATTAATTGTCTTACATTCATTCTTGTCTGGCAAGTACCTTACTGACCAAACCATATCTCCAGTTGCTAAAGAGTTTCTTTTTCAAGTTAGTCTCATGATTTTCACTTCATTACTAGTTGTTGTGTAAGATACGAAATCACAACCATTTCTCCTTTATTGATGTATTTTGTTGGCAAATTTTTACATTGTGAATAGTGTGATGTAGCCAGCTCTTGGATGGGACAAAAGGGACTCGTGCTTCTCCATGCACTGCCCCCTTCCTTAAGGGTAACCACTTTCCTTATTTCTCAGATTGGACATGAGATTGGCATGTTTTGGTATAGATATTCATGGAATGGAACAGAGCCTCTGTTTTGACTCTTCATTCCAATGTTGGATTGGCAGATTCATCTAGGTAGTTTTGTTTCTTTCACTTTAGTGTTTCATTCTTCTTACTACATACTATGCTATTGAAAGAAAAGGACAATTTTTTTCTATTAAGTATTTCAGCTTCCAGGTTGAAGCTATTACAGTTTAGTGCTGTTAGGAACATTTTTTACATGTGGCTTATACTGAATGTATGTAGGCATTTCTAATACATTTTAAATACGTTTTCGTGTGTGTGTGTGTGTGTACACACACATGCATGAAGAGGTCAGGACAGTTCTAAGGAGCTGGCACTTTCCTTTGTGTGGGTACTAAGGATTGAACTCAGGTCATCAGTCTTGGCAACAGGTGCCTTTATTCAACAGCTGTCTCCCCAGCCTCTTATGTAGGCATTTAAAATTTTTATTTTCTTTAAAAATTTTTTTATTCATTTTACATACTGACCACAGTTTCCCCTCCCCTTGCCTCCCCCTCAAACCAAACCCAATCCAGTCCTCTGAAAGAGTATATAAGGTCTCTCATGGGGAGGCAAAAAAACCTGGCACATTAAGTTGGAGCAGGACCAAGCCCCTACCCCCTGCATCAAGACTGAGCAAGACATCCCACCATATGGAATGGGCTCCAAAAAGCCAGCTCATGCATCAGGGATAGATCCCTCAGATAGACATAGCTACACAACTCTTACCCACATGCAGAGGGCCTGGTTCCGTCCCATGCAGGCTCCACAACTGTTGGGCTAGAGTATGTGAGTTCCCACAAGGTTGGTTCAGCTATCTCCTCTGTAGATTTCCCCATCATGGTCTTGACTCTCCTTACTCATATAATCCCTCATCCTTTTCTCTGACTGGACTCGTGGAGATTGGCCTGGTGCTTGACTGTGGATCTCTGTATCTGCTTCCATCAGTTACTGGGTGAAGGCTCTATGATGACAGTTAAGGTATTCACCATTCTTCAGTTGAGCATCTAGCTTGATTCCAGGTTCTGCTATTACAAATAAAGCTGCTATGAACATAGTTGAGCAAGTGTCCTTGTGATGTGATTGAGCATCCTTTGGGTTTATGCCCAAGAGTGGTATCACTGGATCTTGAGGTAGATTGATTCCCAGTTTTCTGAGAAGTTGCCATACTGATTTCCAAAGTGGCTGTGCAAGTT